TCTGAAGGCTTTCCCACATTGCTTACATTCATAAGGCTTCTCTCCAGTGTGGATTCGTTTATGTTCAGTCAGACCTGAGGCATTCCTAAAACGTTTCCCACATTCCTTACATTTATAAGGCCTCTCTCCACTGTGGGTTCGCATGTGTATACTGCACTGTGAGGACAGTCTGAAGGCTTTCCCACATTGTTTACATTCATAAGGCTTCTCTCCAGTGTGGATTCTTTTATGTATAGTCAGTTGTGAGGATTCCCTAAATGCTTTCCCACACTCGTTACATTCATAAGGACTCTCTCCACTATGAATGTGCCTATGTACAGTGAGGTTTGAGCGAGAAACAAAGACTTTCCCACATTCCTTACATTCATAGGGTTTCACTCTACTGTGGACAGTTTTATGCCTTGTGAACCTTGAGGCTTGGCTAAAAGCTTTCCCACTTTGATTACATTCATAGAGTTTGTTTCCACTGTGAGTGTGCATATGTCTACTGTGCTGTGAGGAATACCTAAAGACTTTCCCACATTTCTTACATTCATAGGGTCTCTCTCCATTGTGGATTATCTTATGTGCACTCAGGCCTGAGGAATAACGAACAGTTTTCCCACATTCCTCACATTTAGAGGGCTTCTCTCCACTGTGAGCATTTACCTGTTGAGTGAGGGAGGAGGCCTCAGGAATAACTCTCTCATATTCAGGAGGCTCCTCTCTCTCATGAGAGTTATTATGTAAAATGAGAGATAAAGGAAGAGTATCTATTCTAAAACATTTTTTACATACACACTGATGACCTTCCACAGGTGTCCTAAAGGTTGAGAAACTACAGAAAATTTCCATCCACTCACTGAATTCACACAGTTCAACACTAGTGATTGCTGAGACAGTATTCTTGAGGGTCAACATACAAAGGAAGCCTTTCCCACATATCTCACATTTATGGGCATTTTTCCCATCATGAGTTCTCAGAGGCGTCGTCAGGTGAGAAGCATACCTGCAGTCTTCTCCACAGTCCAGACACTGACAGGTACTGCTTCCAGTGTGAGCTCTACTACCATTGTTCTCCAGGGAATGATCCCCGAAGGCTCCTCCATACTCACAGCATTCAAAAGGATCTACTCCTGTGGGATCTACTGGGTGCACAGAAAGACCAGGAATCGGGATGGAGGTTTCCCCACACTGGCTGCCTTCAGAACATTCACAAAAGTTGTCGATTGATCTAGTTCTCAAATGTTTCCTGTGGTTGTCAAGGTGATGCTTCCAACCATGTGATTCCGTGATTTTACCGACTGAATCCAGGTTTCTCAAGGTTTCCATCATCGCGTCTCTGTAGAGTTTTCTCTGAACAGGATCCAGTAAATCCCACTCTTCATGGGTGAAGACCACAGCCACATCGTCAATGATCACTGTTCCCATTCCGGCACTCCACCTTCGGAAAGTTTAACAGCAGATCTCCGACAAGACCCAGAGCTCCGGGGATACAGGCCGAGGGACGTGGACGCAGAGCTCAGGGCATGTTAGGCACAAATGCACAGTAGCCATCCGCGCCTCCAATCCTGGTCCTTTGTGGAGCTGAATCGCTGACTGAGCTCCTCTCACTTCTCCACGTGTGAGACCGGAAATGGAAGAGAGTGGGCGAGTACCACGGGGAAAACCTAAGTTACAAAAAAGAAAAACAAAACCTAAAACTGGAATATATGGGAGAACTATAACCGGGTAATGGGGAGTCCCTAAAAACGGCCCCTGGGGCCCCTGAATACCGGATTGTGAAGCACAGTTTGTCCGGGGTGATGCACACCACGTGACCCGGGGACATATTCAACGTAGCGCCCCCTCGTCCTCCCTCCGTAGCTGTGTCCTTGAGTCTCCGGGAGGCCAGGGAAGAGAGGAGGGCGCGCTGGTTACTGGGACCAGCACCTTCCTCTTATGCATTTTTTTGAGGAGTATCTTCACCATCTAAAAGTATAGTACCTATCTCTTGTGATACAATAGTGAATAGTTGTTATCTGGACTGCTTGTAAGGGATGGAATTGTAAAGGTAGACTTTTTTAGCAAAGAAGAGAGTGATTAACTTTTCAGCCTAAAAGCGGAGGTCCCTGGGACCATCAAGGCAGAAGAGTGGAGAATGGGACCCTACCTAGAGAAGCAGTGATGCCTGAGATGGAACAGAGACGATGACGTGGAGAGATGGAGCTGTTGGGGACTTTATACACAGAGAGGGAGAGGGGCTGTGTGCTGATGACCAGGAGGCATGCTTGTAGTGCATAACCTTTGGTTGGCTGATGATGCATGGAGGGGATTGTAACCATAGCAATGAAATGATATACTATAGGATGAATGTAAAACGAATGTTCTCCCTTGTAAACGATCACATAATTCACAATAAAACATTAAGGGAAAAAAAAGTATATTACCTAGCACACAGACAGCACTCAACAGATGTTTTAAAATTATTAATAATTACTAACAATTAGTTAGCTTTTACTTTAAGGTAGATATTATGCTTTGTATACATAATCTCTCTTGATCTTCTCAGCAACCCCATGAGAAATGCCATTCAGATAGGCTAATATGCAAGGTCATTGAGGTAGTAAATAACAGAATTAGAATTTATACATAGGCTGTCTGATTCCAGAGGTAGTAAGTGCTTCCAGAGACTATAAGTTCTATTAGTCAATATTTAAAATGGGAAGATTAGCTAGTACAAAAAGAATCCTCCAAGTGGATTATCCTAAAAAGTGGGAGAGTTCTTTATTTCAAGTGTTACCAAATGTCTCCGCCCAGATTAATTGAGCCCAGTCTTCCTTGAAAGTTATCATAGAACATTTGGGAACAGTACCAGTGCTGTGCTCCTGCAAGGTTTGATTTCAGCTGAAAACACAAACTAGTGTTGAAGTGAATTTATTCAGTATTTCATCATTTGAATTCATAGCTCAGAGACAATGACAATGAGAGACAGAAGCAAAATATCCTGAGGCAGGAAGGATTTATTCACTCATTCATTCAGTAAAGAAACATTTATTGAGTGACGATTCCATGCCTAGTGCATGCAGTTCAAAAACAGAAAGTACATGTCAAGCTGCTCTATCAAACCAGTCCAGAGAAATTCCAGCTTCCCTTCCCTGGTTAGTTCAGAGCCCAGCTGCCAATATATTTCTATTCACCCAGGGCTAGTCAGTGGATATAGTCTCATCTCTATTTCATAGGTCCAATTATCTCATGGAAGGGCTCACAAACTGCAGGGAAAGGGATATCTTTAATCTAAAAGGGAAAAAGACATAAGTACAATAGGGAAATCCAAGTCTTGGCACAGAACTTCCATGTCCCCAGAGCATAATGTTCACTCTTTCCAACGTGGAAGCTCCAGTGAGACTTAGTCTTTCAATTTGTTTACTGACCTCACCACATGACCATGATAGATGAGAGATCATGCCTTCTGGTGGTTAGTCAGCAATTGGGATCTTAGACGATCCCTCTTTGTTGGGTCAGTCCCCACTTATTGGCCTGATGTGTGTTCAAGCTTTCAGGAACCAGGACCAAAGGCCAAATTGTTTACTGCAAATGGGTTACACATGCTGAGCAAGACCCACATAGAAGGTTTCATTTGAATTTATTTGTTTGATAACCAGAAAATAAAATGCAAATTCTTTTTAAAATAGTTGCCCTGAGGCAGGATATTGTACATAATTGGGATGTTCTTTAGTGTAAGGAGGTCTAAAAAGGAAGATCCATTAAAAAGACTAACAAAATAATGATTCATTTTTACTTTCCCTACTGCAAATACTTTTATTTATTGGCAATTAGCTATATAATAACTACCTGGTGAAATAGCATATTGTTATTTTGTATAATTCTCTGATTAAAGTTTTTTTCAGGAGAAAGATGAGGCTTTCTGCTTCCATAAAGATTGACAGCCTCAGAAACCCTGCAGGGTTGCTATGAGTCAGAACCGACTCCATGGCACATAACAACAGCAACAATAATTCATCAGCTAATTAACATTTGTGTAAAAAAAATTTTTTTACAATAACTTTGTGGGGCTTTTGTTTCCATTGGCACTGTAGGATAAGAACTAGACAGCAAGGTCCGTTTGAATAGGAAGATCGGTGGTTCAAACCCACCAGTTGCTCCTCAGAAACCCTATACAGGATTCTTATGAGTTGGAACCAATTCGATGGCACTGAACAACAACAATAATAAAAAAAAAACACCTAAAAGGTAACAGAAAAACAACTCCACCCTCAATTTCACCATTTCAAAGTCAACTGTTCTTTATATTTAGTGTATTTTCCCATTTCTTCTGTGTATCATTAAAAAAATATATATTTGCAATATATACACAATACTCCATTCTAACCATCCTCACAATGTGGCAACCATGTGCTATAGATGGGACAGGCTCTACTCCCAGAGAAGGGTTTTAATGAGAGTAATCCAATAACAGTATTGCATTTTCTGTAGTGCATTGATTGGTTCAGAAGGAGCACTTAACTACAAATAGGCAGTTGGTCCAGTAGTTATGAAAAGGGATACCCTCAGTCTTCCATGTCATAAATGAAGAACTGTAGCCAATCTGCTGCTATGAAGAAAATTAGCTTGACAGTAAAACTGAGGAGACAGATTTGGAGAACTATAGAAAAATGTAGCCCAGTACAAAATTTTCAATTTTATGAATCAAATTATCCCCTTTTATGTTCAAATCTGTTAAAGATGGATTACATGTTCAGACCAAGCATGCTAAACAGATTCACTATCTAAATGGGATAACAAAATGAGGCAATTTTAGCTTAATTTAAAAAATTAATAAATTCTATTTATTTGGGACCAGAAGGATGTTTACCTGTGGACAGCATTGAGGAGAATGAATATTCCAGAACACTAAATTGTGCTCATGAGGAACCTGTACATACACCATGAGTCAATTGTTCGAACAGAACAAGATAACATTGAATAGTTTAAAATTAGGAAAAGTGTGCCCCAGGATTGTATTTTTTCACCATATTTATTCAGACTATATGCTGAGCAAATAATCTGAGAAATTGGATTATATGAAGAAAACCATAGCATGAGGATTGGAAGAAGACTCATTAACAACCTGTGATATGCAAATGATACAACTTTGTTTGCTGATTGCTGTTGTTATGTGCCGTGGATTCAGCTCCAACTCATAGTGACACTGTACAGGGATTAAGGATTATGGAAGCAGAAAGCCTCATCTTTCTCCTGCGGAACAGCTGGTAGTTTCGAACTGCTGACCTTGTGGTTCACATCCCAATTCGTAACTACTACGCAACCAGAGCTCCTTGCTGATACAGGACTTAAAATACTTACTGATGAAGATCAAAGACCACAGCCTTCAGTATGAGTTGCATCTCAATGTAAAGAAAATAAAAATCCTCACCATTGGACCAATAAACAACATCCATATAGGGAAAGATTGAAGTTGCCAAAGACTTCATTTTGTTCCTATCAACCATCACACGCATGGAAGCAGCAGTCAAGAAATCAAATGACTCATTGCACTAGTAAATTTGCTATACAAGACCTCTTTAAAGTGTTGATGAGCAAAGATGTGAGGTTGAGGAATAAAGAGGGCCTGACCCAAGCCATGGTATTTTCAATAACCTCATATGCATGTGAAAGTTGGACAGTGAATAAGGAAGGCCATAGAAGAATTGATGAATTTGAGCCATAGTGTTGAAGGAAACCATTGAAAGTACCATGGTCTATGTTGGAAGAAATAGTCAGAATGCTCCTTGGAAACCAGGATGGCCAGACTTCGTCTTTCATACCTTGGACATATTGTCACAAGGGACCAGTCCCTGGAGAAAGATATCATGTTTAGTAAAGTGGATGGTCAGAGGAAAAGAGGAAGACCCCCAAGAAGATGGATTGGCAGTGTGGCAATAGCAATAGGCTCAATGATTGTGAGGTTGGCACAGGACTGGGCAGTGTTTTGTTCTGTTGTGTATAGGGTCGCTATGAGTTGGTACTGACTTGGCACTTAACAACAACAAAAACAATTTATTTGGGTATAGAAAACTAAATAAAGTAGTGGTATTAACGGCTGTTCTTTCTGAACTCCCATCCTTGGATCCAAAACACGATACTCTTAATATTTGGATGTTCTTAGAGATATGATCAAGAGGCAGTTGTTCTAACAGAACATGGTAACACTGAATGGTTTAAAATTAAGAAAGGTGTGCGACAAGGTTGTATTCTTTCACCATACTTATTCAACCTGTATGCTGAGCA